GTCCTCCTTGTCGTTCTCATCCGGGTCATCGGAGTCGTAACGATTGCACAACGATGCCCAGACCCTCTTGTCTTTAAAGACATTCTCATGGAGGTACCGGCAGGCTTTGTACCATTCATCCCGAGAGTCCCAATCTGCAAGCTCTTGGCATTGATTGGTCATCTCCGTGGCTCGAGAGATGCAGCTTGTGATGCTGCCTATCAATGGTGCCATTTCAAGGTCACCAGGCCACGGGCACCTACGACCTTGGAGTCGAAACACGACTGAAGCCCGTTTGAGAAGGGGTGCCGCTTTCTCAAGTTCTGCCTTCACATATGAGGCCATGATGAACTCTGGGTGCCGCGTAGGTAACTGGGTGAGCTCCAGTACATTGTAGTGCCATATCTTCAAGCTGGCAGCCTTCTGATTGGGCCAGTTGAATGACCTCCATTTGAGCTCTTTGAGCTGATCATCCGGCAGGCCGAACCAATCTTCATTGCTGAAGTCGATGAGGCCTGGTGCACCTTGAGGCACTATCGGCTGCTGGGTAGGTGCCTGTTGGATAGGCGCGGAGGTACTCGGCACCTTTTGCGGCTGTGGAGCGATCGGGATGGCGGGAGCGTGGAGGTGCTCAGTGGTGGTGGGGATGGCGGACAGCGTCCCCATCTTGGGTGCTGGAGGGTCTTGCGTACTTGACGCGGGAGGCTGGGCTGGCTTGGCGATAACTGTGAGGTCATCAAGATAGTGTTCCAACCCCAACCAGATGGCAGTATCTCTGTACTGCTGAAGGAATGTTCGCAGCCTCCCATCTTTTTCCTCTCGAATCTCCCATCCATATGGCCGAAATCGGCACCAGAACTCGACAATTGCGTCTTTCCAGATGAGGAAACCTGGGTGAAGACCATAAAGCCCTCTTGGGAAGAATGGCATCAGGTGCATTTTCGCTGCGCCCATCAAGGCCAAGATTTGAGCCGCTGGTGCCTCACATCCAGCATCAGTACCGATGGTACTTAGGAAGGACTTCATCTCAGCAACAATCAGATGCTTCTTGTTCTCTACATCTCGCAAAGCCCCTAACTGGGGGTCGATCGAGGGAGCTGATGGGAGGGTAGGTGGGGGTTGGGTAGGAGTGTATATCGGAGGTAGCTCGACAACCTTATGGGCAGGCGCGATGACTACGTGGTCCTTCGTGGTAGTAGCTGTCGACTTCGTAGTGATTTGAGCCACTTCTGGCTTCGGTATGGTAGGTGCCGCGGCGACCTTCTCGTGCTCGGTAGACCTGTAGGCAGGTGATGGTTGCCTAGGTGCAGACCGCCAGTAATCGCGTTCTTTGCGACGGGTATTGCCCCAAGAAGTCGACAGTTGAAGAACGGGATAGTGTGTCGGGTCGCGTCGATCGGAGTGTGCGAACGACTCGCCGGTGCCGCGGAAGTTGGTGAAGGGGAACTCGAATGGTGGTGGATATGAGGGAGGCGCTGGCTTTGCAGGCGTAAGAGTGACAGGCGGTGGTGTGATGTGAGCGATGGTGGCAGTGACAGGGAGCTTCGTCTCTTGCGACTGTCCCTTTTCGGCAGGATCATGGAGGTCGTCTTGGTCGGCCTCGGGATGAGGGCCTATCCAGTAGGTATACTTGATATATACATATAGGGCGAAGGTAAGGTAGACGCAGATGAGAAGTGAGATGAAGCGGAGGTAGACGGGAACTCCTTCGAAGTTGTGGGTGAACTGATAGTAGACTTCCCAGCAAATCTCCCAGTATAGGTACGAGACGGCGATTTGGAGGCGGCGAACAACAAGCGGAAAGAACTCAGATGATGCGAAGACGCGGCCGATGTCGAGGGCTACTAGCAAGAGAAAGCAAAGAAGGGCGATGGTGACAGTGCGCATCTTGTCGGTATAGCGTGCGGCAGGTGAGCTCGCAAAGTAGGGTATGATGAGATTTTGGGTATCGTCAAATAGAAGAGCTTGTCTTGGAAGCTGCGATGGGAAAGAATTGGAGTGTTTGGTTTGGAAACTGAGAGCAATGAAGCAGGACGGGTGTTTTGAGGGTTTGTATCGCTTTGTGTGTGCGCAAAAGATATTTTGACTGCTATTGTGGCTGGGTCCGTGCCTATTGTTGGTCACCGTGGAAATGACGACGAGTTATTTTGAAAAAGCGGTGGTGAGTCGCGAATTGCGATGCGGAGCGCTGGACAAACGGAAGGCTTGGCGCGATACCGGCGGTGGATGAGAAGTGAAAGGGACAGCGACAAGACACGCTAATCGCCAGAACGCTATCATCAGCTACAAATGATTTGTTTGACTAGGATATCGTCCCAGTAGAAGGAGAGGCCCGCGGATCAAGGTGTCTATGAAGCATGGCGTTTGCTCAAGTCGGTGGGAAGGACCATAGAAATAACATCCAATTGAAGCCGGAAGGTGCGTAGTTGATGAGTCTTTACCTACAGATTCACATCGCAATGTAAGTTCCGACTTCAATGCCTCCGTCCGATCTGAAAATCTAAAGCCTTTGCGAGGATGTAGAGCATCTCCAAACGTACGCACGCCACACCCTTCTCCTTGCCCATGCGGACAGGATTGCCCACAATAGCCTCTACTTCTATTCTCCGATTTGATTGAACATCCTGAAGCATACTAGGTTCGATACCAGCGTTCGTCGGGATCCTGGCTTGCGCCCGGCTAAGCTGATTGTCGACCTGTTCGCGCGTGATTTCGTAGCCATGCGCAGCTGCGATGTCGCGAATCTCAAGCATCACAGCTAGTACAACACCGTCCGCCTCTTCCGAGGCAGTTAGAATATCTGTGTCTTTGCTCAGAGCGAGAGCACACATGGGGTTCCAGGATGCATTGACGAGTAGTTTCATCCATCGCTTGTGCTGAACGTCCTCGTAGAATTCCGCTGTAGCACCGGCTGCTGTGACAAGTTCCGTGAAAGCTTTAGCCCATTTACTTGGTGCGGAAGATGGATAGGCTCCCACTTGGAGTTTCTCGACTTCACCGTGTTTGATGACGCCGGCTGGCCGTTGGGTAGCGGGCATATAGACGACAGCGCTGATGATAGGGTTGTTTGGGTATGCCTTCAAGTATTCTTCTTCGATACCGACGCCATTCTGAATAAGTACGATGGCCGTATGTCCAGGTGTGATGGCAGGAGCGATGAGCTTCGGTACCGTATCCGGGATAGCCTTGCTGCAGACGATGATGTAGTCAAATGGATCTGATGATTGTGACGCTGCTTCTCCACAGTCTCGGACTACATTGGGTTTGAAATGAAGGTTTTGACCGAAGATCGATGAATTGATGGTGAAGCCATCTCTCCTTACGACCTCATAATTCGAGCGGCAGACGGCGGTGGTCGCGGCTACCTTGCTGAGCAGGTACAAGTATACCGTTCCGACGCTACCGGCACCAAACAGAAGGATCCTTGGCTGCTCCCCCGAAGACATGGTAGAATCTTAATATCGAAGATGGTGTTGTACGTAGTTCTCCTGCAGTGCGACATGGAGGATTGGATGGATGTCACAGTCATGGCCCCACGGCTCTTTCCGTGGCCCCCAAGTTTTCGCCGCGGAACAGGTACCCGCATTCTTCCCAAGCCAACTTGGCGCTCCTTTACAGACCATCAGTAAGCCATCTGCGGGAACAGTCAATCCTTCGTTGTATACTTGAAGCGGTTATTAATCCAGAACGACAGGGGCCGTCATACTTGTGGGCTCATTGCACGCGCGCAGGCTGTCGCAACAACAGCAACATCTCAGAGGACGATCATCGCACACAACCAGATAGCATCCACTGTGATACAGCAGCACAGCTCATAGCCCTGAAAAGGATATCGTGCCTCAGCCGCACTGTGGGCCCGCAGGAACACAGCGTGGCTTTTCATGCAATCTGGAGCCTCGCCTCGATTCGCTGCCTACGTTACCCATGCCGCATCCTGCATGCCAGGTCAGGAAAGGAGTGGTCAGGCCTGTGAAGCTATGATGGATACGACCACCAAGAGCTGGGCAACTAACTCCAGGTTGCCTTGCATCTTTATTAGTTGTCAGCTCCGTACACTAGCTGTGGTTATAACAGCTATGAGATGAACCGGCGCCCTCGTATTCTGGTTGTCTGCTTAGCCGCCCCGCCAAAGCCAATTTGCGGCTAACGTACCGCGCGTCGACGCGACGATGCATAACCTTCTCTTACTCCTCCTTACCGCACTCGCAGCGCGTGTTTTCGCGACAAGTCAGATAGCCCTCTTCGAGGATGATAACTGTCAAGAGTCATTGCGAGGTTTAGAGGGTCCAAACGGCTATCCGAATGGTACCTGTACAGATCTCAGGCGCAATGGCCCTTATGGGAGCTTCCAGGTCGTCGGCCTGGACCCAGGATGCACAGGTATGTTGCTTCGCGACAAGATGGATGCGAGGATGGCCATACTGACATTGCGCGCAGTCACTATTTATATGAACGATACGACCGTCGACATATGCTCCGGCTTCCAAGAAGAAATCCAACCGATCGACTGCTACAATTCGACCTTCGTATACTACAGTATCGACTTCTGCGACGCCGGCGGCATTGGTGAATCACCATCTGCCACGTCCACGCCTACGCCTACATCGACCCCATCGTTCACACCACCCCCCTCAGGCTCCTCAGGCTTGTCAACGGGCGCGATAGCGGGGGCAGCAGTCGGAGGAGGCATAGGGCTCGGCATAATAATCGGATTAGCGGTGTTCTTCATCATGAGGAGGCGGCATTCGTCACGCCCACGGGAGATGTCAGGTTCTACGGAGCTTACGAGCGTGACGCCATACGAGGTCCACGCAAAGCATATTCAGGAGTTGGGACCAGGAGCGGTGGCATACAAACACGAACCTGTGGAAATTGAACAACCGCCTGTTGAAATTGGGGGTATGGAGATGCGACGCGACGAAGAGAAGGGGCCGCGCTAGAATTGATGTATCAAAACACTCGAACACCGTTGGTGTGTCTCCGGGATCGTCCTTCAATCGCACCGAACCTCCCCTAGACCCTCAGCTGCTTCCAGAGTCCAATAGTGAATACTCCGAATACGTGTTCACCAGTTCCCATCGCCCGTTACTGAAGTCGATAGCCCCGGCCAGAGCAGCCCAGCCTCTGTCGTATTGTACCACATACTCATACAACTCTCCATTGGGGCCATCAAAATCATAATTCGCGAGATCAGTGCCAGGATGGGCGCGCATGGCACTGAGAGCTAGCTCGATATCCTCTCGCACGTCAACATTCAAGAATGCGGGAATTTCGAAGTCCAGATCCCAAACATTTGTTGGAGAATCCTGACACGGCGCCTGCTCAAGTAGCATACTTAGCCAGAGTTTCCTGAGGCTGGGCATGGTCTCGAGAATGTGCAGTGGCTGGTGCCATGTGCCATGCTGTAAACCCACAGATTGGATCACAACGTCCTCCAGTATCGACGTGTGCAAGTGCAGGAATGCGACCAACTCTTCGTGGTAGATAACCACCTCAGTGAAGTTGAGATGACGTAGACCGGGGAAGAAGAAAGTTCCCGCCGGTTCGCGAGCGAGCGGTAGGAGGGTATGATTTTGACTCAGCTCAAGCTTGGTGATACCGACACTTAGCCTCAACAGTTGTCCAATCCAGGCAGGATCCATGTCGTTCGTGGTAGAGACGTAGCGTAGTTTCTTGCAAAGGCGCTCACGCCAGTATCTGGAATTGTTGTCAAAGTACTCAAATGCGTCTCCAGAATGGGACGAGTTCCAGAACTCGAGCTTTAACTCGATCTTTTCGTCCACCTCAGCCTGTTCTATCGCATGCAGAGTCAAGCGGTATACCCGGTTGTAACCATTGTCATCGCCTTTTTCCCAAGACTTTCCTTCTGAACGCTCCAGACCGAACATCGAACTTCGTCCACATCTCAAGAGAATTTCATCATCCTCGATGTATCGAGGTCCGCGAAAAGATTCAACGTCAATTTGGATACTTTTCAAGTTGTTGAACTCCCGGAAGACCTCGGTGAGAATCATGAGATCCATGCGTGAGCGTTCAACGCTTGTCTGTAAGTCCATGTGTCTCTTCTCGTGTACCTCTTCACCAGCTATGAGAGCTATGCCGTGTCCGATACGCTCGCCACTCACTGTCAACTCATGGACATATCTTGACAGCACAGGATGGCGGCAGATTTCGAGGAGTGTGCCAAGGCTGGTGGGATGAAGGATGACGACGAGGTTATTGAAAAAGCGCTGTCCGAAAGCGTTCGCGGAATGTGCTGTTAGTGCGCGACACACACGGCGTACGTTGATGAGATCTTCGTCGGCTAGATGATTGGAAACGTCACCGATAATCTCAGCGGGAAGGTCGAGGAGTCGAAATGGCTGCGGCGGCTCCTCCACGTGGGCCGCCTTGACTTGAGCGCGAGTAGTCACCATGACTGCGGTGCAATCTCTGCTGTAGTTGTGAATGAGACTGAAGGGTCTGCGATGATGTGAGGTGAGAGTTCGCGTGAGCGAGACGCTCTTGCCCGTTTGTCAACAACGGGGTCGTGCGCTTTTACGCTAGGCCTGAACCTGGGGTGAGAGAAGGTACGATGAAGGTAAACAGCAGCGAGAGAGTTGCCGGTAGGCGCGTGCAACATGAATTATCATCCTATTCATGATGTGCAGTGTGCTATATAGTGATCCCTAGTCCGTAGGAGCTGCCTCTTACCACACCGTGTCAAAACATTTCTCGGACTTTCCCGGCCGTCGCAGCCAACCGCTAGTTGAATTCTTCCTTCTTGACTCCAACAACTTTAGCTCATCACTTCGCTGCCTTGGATGCCAGAGCGATGTTTGCCGATGTGAAGTCAATTCTGTAGTAGTCCTCATAGAAGAGTTGATGTTTGTATGTTTGTACACCCTGAAGCAGAGCTCGAAGAGCAAGCAAAACGTCTGAGCGTTTATCACATCTGAAGCAGGATCTCGCGTCACCGTCCGTTTCTGGTGCTGTAGCGTAGGCTACATTTTGACCTAGGCAAGAGAGACTCAGACCTTCAAGAATTGGCAGATCATGTATGGTCTGCAGGATCTCCTTCCAGGATCCATTATCCAAAACGATGTATCCGAGATGAAGCTGAGTCAGAGTACTCTGATGCGCTTCGAAGAAGCCGGCTATAGCAGTGTTCTCAAGGTCCACTCCGCTGACGGCAAGATCTTGAAGGTGCTGCCAAACATGCACGTCGCCATGTCGATTGCCAAACTTAATACGCCCTCCACTAGGCAGTAGCTCCAGTTCCTTGAGCTCCGAGCATGAGGCAGCAAGGTGGGAAGCCCATCCACTGGTATCACTAGGACGAGCTTGAAATTTGCGGACCCTGCGCGACAGTCTCTCTTTCCAGAAAGGGGAGCTGATGTTGAACAGTTCAGCCTGAATTGGTGAATTGTCGGTATCCCTGTAGGGAGAAGAGCTCATGACTCGAAGATTCAGATCAAGGTGTATCCTGTCACAAACATTCGCGCGGTTGATAGATCCCATCATGACCTGGAGCAAGTGGCTGAGTGCGCTAAAGTCGCAACGGAGCTGTTGCGGAGTGAGTCTCTCTGGGCCACAACGGAGCCCGACGACTTCTCCAGTTAAATGCCAGGTTTGCACGTACGATAGGCTGTCTATCCGAATAGTTTCCAGATTCACAAACTTTCGAAGCGCCTCCGTGAGCATGTCTTCAGCTTTTGACAAAGGCATACCAACGTGGACCATCGAAGGAGAGCCACCGATCTCGCCGCTCATCGATATCGTCCGAACAAATCGCGAGAGCTTCTCGTGACGTGCATAGTATAATAAGACGGCGAGACTATCCCAACGAGGTAGAGCCACCAAATGCGCCAAGAATCGTGTCCCGAAAGTGAAAGTCGAGCGATCGTTGAGAGTGCAAGAGACCAGTCGGATCTTTCGCAGTGAGTCATCGTCCAACTGGTTGCAGACACTGCCGAACAGCTCCTAGGAAACGAGAACGCAGTAAGCACGCGATCAATGCATCGTTCGTCAAAGCGGATCACTTACAGCGGGCAAGTCGAGGATCCGGAAGATGCCATTCAAACTGAGCGCACCGAAAGCGACAGTAAGCTCGTCCATGTTGTCGCCGGCTCAGCTGACCGCGCAGTTTGCGCGCCTCAAGTGTGAGAGAGAAGCGCGGATGTTGAAAGTGCGTAGACGAGCTTTGTGGCTAAGAGTTGTTGGGTGTCAACTGCTCGCGCGCGCCCACCTGATAGCGCCAAGACTGCGCGTTTGCATGTGATCAATCCATCTCAAGTCTTCCTCAGCGATATCTCAGCAACCTCACACTTCGCCATAGCATAGGAACGGAAAAGTGACTGATAAGAGGTAATAATAAATGTCCAGATATGGAAGAAGTCTATGGTTCCAGACCCAAAAGAGACATGATTACCCAAAGTGCAACGCCGATAAATGCAGCTTCTGATATCGCAAACGGGGGCATGCTCCTAAACTCCAAAAGCATTGGGTGATGACCGAATCAAAAGCCAGACGTGCACATCCTGATACAGGGTCTACCGTCAATACACCTGGTTGTACCCATCTCTCTTGTACATTATTCGTGCCAACATCAACCCTAAAAAACATTCTAAATCTTCCTCTTCTTTGTATGAAACATGTTGTATTCTACTCTCTTCCTCTTCGGCGCCGGATCGGCCGCTGCCTGCGCATTCGTCGGCTTCGGCTTGGGTGCGCTGAAGTGCATCCCAGGCGGCAAGGAGGTCCGCGCGGGTGGCGGCGGCGCATTGCGTTGCTGCGGTGCAGGCCTCTGTGTAATGGTCGGGCGATTCGCGGATAGTGACGGCGCGGGCTGAGTGCCAGGCTTCTGAGAAACGGATGCCGAAGCTTGCTTGGACACTACCATACTTTTCGGAGCCTCATTCTCCGCCATTCGAACCATCCTCGCTGGTGCTTGCCTGACGTTGGTCTTTCGCTGAGCTAGAAGATGTGCTGGAATTTGGCTCGCTTTCGGACGCTCACGGCCATGGTCGAACATGCCGCGCTTCAGCTTGTCGAAAGCGGCTTTGCCCGTCTTTGAAGGGGCACCCGATGGTTGCCCCCAGCTGCTGGTAGTGCGTCCAGTGAACATCTTGCTTGCGCCGGCACCGTATCCAAACCTGGTCTCGACGATCAAGGTCTTGTTCTGTCCGCGATCTTTCTGCAGCGCTTGCATCTGCTGTTTGAGGGCCTCTTTATCCGCCTCTATCTCCAGTTCTGCATCTTTCTTCAACTTGCGATAGACCTTGCTCCAGTTTCGAGGATCGCGCGGCTCATGGGGCTTCGTCTCCCAGTTCGGAATGTCTCGCTTGATAAAGCGAAGCCATATCTCGCCCGTCTCGCCGAGTAGTTGTGGGCAGTTGGCCTCGAGTTCGAGCAGCTGATCGGGGCTTTGTATGAATCGGAGGACTGGCTGGAGGAAGGAGTAGGGTAGATCGCCGACGTCGCGGAGCATATCGATATTCTTGATGAGGCGCTGTCGAGCCAGCTCGAAGAGGCTTGCGACGGGCATGGTAACGGTAATGTCTATGTGGAGGATATATCCAAAAGCGTTGCGTAAGATGGTGTTGTGAGGCGGACTGCGAAGATCAAACGGGTCGGAATGTGAAGGGTTTTGGTCGTAGAATGGTGGTTTGCTGACAGGTTCGTTCGTGTTCGTTGATAGGGTGTCGTCTATGTAATGTGAATCATGGACAGGCCGAACGAGGGCGGCGTGAACCGTAGATGGGGCTGAGGACCCCACGGGGCTCACGGCAGCATGTTGGTAGGCTAGTCCGGATCAAGAAGCTGGTTGTAAGAGTAACGCTTGCCAGAGCAATGCGAAGCGATGATTAGGAGAGTGATGAAGAGAGGGAAGTGTGAGTGAAAGTGTAGAAGGCGCGGTGGACTGGTCTCTGACGTCTGGTCAGGCGCTAGCGGACCCCTGCCAAACGCGTTGATTGATTCAACTCTTGGACCTCAGCATCGCGACTTTGACGACGACGACGTACGATACCACAAACAACACGTCCCTGTCCTTCGACCATTCAGAAAATATGGCGATCAACGACTGGGGTCTGCTCTCCCAACCAGATGAGGGTAAGGCGTCTTCCACTCACTACAAAGCTCCGACTAATTCCAGCAGATGCGCTGCACAATGTAGCCCGCCTACTAGCTGTCGAAGCACGCCCATACACAAACACGGCCAGTCGCATACTTAAGCCAGACTTCTTCGAGGATGCGCGCCCCAGACAACTACCCTCCCCGCCCCCGGATGCCTCGGGCGCAGAGGAAGAGGCCGCAGCAGTCGCTGTCGAGCGCGAGCAACAAGCGCACAAGATCGAGATATGGCGGAAAGACATCATGAACGAGCTGTCACTGCTGGACTTTGCGATTGTTCGATCCGAATTCACCACGAATAGCAATCACACCGAGCGCGCGCGTTACGCCGATGAGAAGACGGCCATCGAGGCAAAGCAGGAGCACGTGCGCAAGAACATAGAAAACCTGCGCGTCAGACTGGTCGAGGCGAAAGAGACGCTGGCCGTGCGCAAGACGTACGACGAGCTCACGGAAAAGATCACCAACAGCAAGATGCTGAAGCCACGGGACGAGCAAGCACACGCCCACGAGAAGCTGGACCAGGAGATAGAAGAGCTCAATTCAGAAGTGCGGTTGGCTAAGGCTACCTGGAAGGAGCGACGCACGCAGTTCGGACGAATCGAGGAAGAAGCACGCGGCATGTTGCGCATGATCAAGGACGAGAAGGAGGAGGCTGAGCGCAAGGAGGGCATGATGAAGGATGGTGACGAAGATGGCGAAGGCGAGGGCAGCACCTCCAGAGGAGACGTTAGCCATGCCGGTACACCGCGACCAGATGGTGGCATGACACCTGGGCATGCCAGCCAGAGCGGAGATGGCTCTTCGTCACTACGCGTACCACCACAAGATCGCCTGAAGCCTCTATCACGGGAAGCCAGCGCCGCGCCCTCACCTGCTAGATCTGGTGCCGCCGATGACACGGAGATGGCAGACCTTGGGGCACACTCAGGAGATGCCAATGATGGTGACTCTTCTGGGCTGGAAGAGGGCGAGGATCTTGAAGATGGGGAGGAGGATGGCGAAGATCGCACAGACACCAAGATGGACGAATCGTAATCACATGTAGATGATGATTCTTTGATGATTTGATTGCATAGCGCGGTGTTCGGGTATCATTTCATCATTTTTGTACCACTACCATACGGCAGCGGTACCGACTATCTCTTCGGTAGTTACGAATCTAAGAAGCTTCACGCATGGCCGCCTTACCCTTTTCGACAGCCTCTTTCGCCTTGGTGACTTCCTCCGGTGATGCCTGGGCGCCGCCTTCTTTGTTGTTCTCCTACAGATTGTTAGTATGGGATACCCAGCCCATAGCATG